TAATAATAATAATAATAATAATAATAATAATAATAATAATAATAATAATAATAGTAATAATAATAATAATAATAATAATAATAATTGTTTTAAAAAAATAAAAAATATAATTAAGTCAATCATAGTAACTACTTGGGAGATTTATTGACAAAAAGAGTATTCAAATCACACAATAAATTGAAGTAGGAAACTATCTCGCAATGTCCTTGTTTGGCAATCAGTAGTTAGCTCTTCAATATTAGTATATACGGAGTTTTTAATAATTTATGCCCTAATTTTTATTTTCTCTCCCTTATGTCCTGTATTTGGTTTCAACCATACCTATACAATTATTTTATTGACAACTATAATCAATCTTGACTATATTATTTTGCATTTGTAAACTTAGAATTGCCTATTTAAATACATAAATTTAACATTCAATTATCTATGCATGAACAATTCCAATATAATCTTGCATTGATATACTTTAAAATACTTATTTAAAAAAATATTGGGCATTATCTCAATCGCGCAATGCGCGTAAAAAACTAGTAGTATTAATAAGCATCAACAAAACAAAAAAAATCATAAGAAATTCATAACAATATTGAACACTAAAATTTATAGTAATATAATTATTCAAATAAAGTATTTAAAATATAATTACTAGTTGCATAAAATAAAACATTAAAAATATTATATTTTTTAATATTATAAAAAATATAATATTAATAATATTTGCAATAGCAATTCGGGATTGCGAATAAGAACAAGGTACTAATGTTTGCAGCCTCAAATTGCTGTTGCGAATAGTAGTTCGCTATTCGAGTATTCGTAGTAGCTAATGTTTGCAGCCTCAAATTGCTGTTGGGAATAGTAGTTCGCTATTCGAGTATTCGTAGTAGCTAATGTTTGCAGCCTCAAATTGCTTATTGTTATATATATATATATATATATATATATATATATATATATATATATATATATATATATATATTACAAATATAAACACAAAAAGAATAAAAATCAATATTATGAAACATATAGTAAAATTAAAAAAAAATCAAAATATACAAGCAATAATAAAAGAAAAAATAATATTGTTTCAAATTTTTAGAGGAAGATTGTAAAGTTTAGGAGAGATAAAAAATTGGTAGAGTTTAGGTATAAAGAAAATATAGGATAATGAAGAAAAAATAATTTATTGAATTTAGGTATAAGGTTTATAAAGTTTAAATAGTGAGAAAAAAATAAAGTTTAAATAGAGAGAGAAAACCTTTAGAGTTGGTAGAAAGAAAATTTTGAAATCTTGGGGTTGAGGGTAGGATTTCAACTATTAATATTTGAGAAGGAAAAGTCTACAAAAGTCCTAAAATTATAAAGTCTACTCAAATTCATAACTTTTTGAATACCACATGACTTTTAAAGATTCTTTAAAAGTATTAATCGAATACCACCCGACTTTTAAAGACTCTTTAAAAATCTTGATTGAATACTGCATGACTTTTAAAAACTCCTTAAAAGTTTGAACTGAATACCTCCAAACTTTTAAAGTTCATAAAAGTCTTTAAAAGTTTATGAAAGTCATGATTGAATACACCCCGTAACAATTATAATGAATCTCATATATTACATTGTATTTATATACTACGAGTTACATATTTAAATAAACAAATTCGACATTAAATTATTTATGTATGAACTTCTCATATATAATCTTGCATTGATATACTTTCAAATATTTATTTAATTATAAACATTGGATATTAACTCATTCGCACAATTCGCGTGTAAAACTAGTTTTATATACTAAATGTTCATAATTTACATACTGAATGTTTACAATTCCAACTTGTAACATTCAATTATCAGTATATAAATTGTGTATTGTGGACCAGGATCGATGGCATAACTATCCAAACGCAGCCTTCCTCCTCTCTTCGGCCAAGAAGTCATCACAATAACAGTACACCATAACAGTTCCCATGACCCAAAATCAAAAGTGGATTGTTAACCTCTTCGTGCACACCGCCCACTTTTTTAATATGCAATCACAAAGGCCTGTGAAATGCCACAACTTTACATTTTTAATATAATATGTACATAGAAAATGTGTTTGAAGAAGTTGAAAATTTGAAGTTGTGCTTTATAAAATAAAGGGAAATTTTAATTTAAATACATCTACAATTACAAATTTGAAAAAACTCGTGGATCTTGAATGCAAGAGATAACCTAAAGATTCCTACTAAATTTTAATTCAATTATAATTGTAATTTATGTTCTTCCATAATATGTCAATTATCAATGTCACTCCAGAATTATTAGTGGTGTAAATGTTGCCCCTCAATTTTCAAAACGGTACATATAGTATCTTCCTATAGTGTAAATGTTGCTCCTCATTTTTAAAACGGTACATATATTGCCCCTCCCATACGGTACGTGAAGGGCAATATATGTACCGTTTTGAAAATTGAGGGACAACATTTACAACACTAATAATCCAGGGACAACATTGGTAATTGGCATATTATGGAGGGGCATAAATTATAATTTTTCCTATATATATATATATATATATATATATATATATATATATATATATATATATATATATATATATATATATATATATATATATATATATTTAGTGAAAATTGTAATTTATGCCCCTCCATAATATGCCAATTATCAAAGTCACTACTGAATTATTAATGGCGTAAATGTTGCACATCAATTTTCAAAACGTACATATATTGTCACTCCCGTATAGTACGGGAAGAAAATTGAGGAGCAACATTTACACTACGAGAGGGGTATTAATTAAATTTTTTTTCTGTAAAAATGACACCGTTTAGACCCGTGTACACGTTTTCAGGGCATAATTTGCGCTATACTTTATTATCAAAATGAGGCCCCGCAAACCATTACAATATTTTTCGACTACTTTTTGACCCAGAGGTCTTTGTGTGTCTTAATGCATTCAATTCGTTATTTAAAGAGAGGTTTGGAAATTTCCTTACCTTTTGTCTGAAATACTTCCATCAATAAACGCGTATGCGGTCAGGCCGGATCACGACTTCTAACCAATTGCAATGATTTTCTGGGCAAATTATATCGTGCACCGTGGTGCATAATCGATTATGCACCGCGCGTCAGACACTACAGTGTGTTTAAACTGACATTGTCAAAACAATGTCGTTTTATTTAATGAAAAGAAACAGAATCTTCGCAAAAAATAACTCTGTTCTTCAGTTTCATTTTGTATACACTGCAGTTTCAGTTCAACACAACTACAGTTTCATTTCGATATAACTACAGTTTCGTTCAATATTTATACAATCAAATATGTGAAAATGTTATTTACTTTTATTTTATATACACTATAATTTCATTAAAACACAACTAGCTACATGATCATTTGAATATAATTACAGCTTCATTGTACAATATACACTCAAACATGTGAAATGTTATTCAGTTTCATTTTATATATACTGTAGTTTCATTTCACACCAACTACAGCATCATTTTGATATAACTGTAATTTCATTTGATAATAAAAAAATAATACGTGAGCCAGTGTCGATTTAGACACACTGTAATGTCTGGCGCGCGGTGCATAATCGATTATACACCGCGGTGCACGATATAATGACCCGATTTTCTGCTCCAAGTCAAGCTTCAATTTATTTTCCACGTACCCTTATTTTTAATTACTTTCCCATCAATAAACGTATAGAAGGTAATAGTGTTAGTGTAATAGTGTGTTACCTAAATGTCTTCATGTCTTTATCTTGAAGAAGCATATGTTTAATTATGGCCAAATGTACATAACAGTTTCAAGGTAAGTAATACAAAGGGGTTAAATATTTTGATATGTGAAGATAATAGAGAGTGTTTAAGTACGATAAAAAAAATGTTATATATAAAGAAATTTTCAATAATTTGTAATTTACTCAAATAGTTGGTTATTTATTAAATTAGTTCATTTATTTATATTTCGATAATTTTCTTTTATTTTTATATATTGTACTATATTGTAAATTTGTAATATTATATTGTCAAAATTAATTACTTTGCATCGCACGGGTGCAAATACTTGGTGAAGACAATGGATGTGAGTGCAATATAATTATATCTCTCCCTTTGTATTGAAAAATGAAGGTGATCCCATTAAACAAATTGTTGATAGCACATTTCCTTCATATCGTACGGGTAACAAGAGTAGAGTTATTTTAGCCCCAACATTAGATGTTGTTGACCATGTCAATGAATACATGAACAATATGAATGAAACCTCTTCCAAAACGTATTTGAGTTGTGATTCTGTGTGCAAGTCATATACTAATGTTGATATGCAATCTGAGGTTCACACAACATAATTTCTAAACAGTTGGAAATTTTTAATAATGTGTAATCATTTTATTTGTGGAAGGCGAATAAATTATATTTTGTTATATCTTCAACCTTATCGGTACTATATCTTTAATCTATCAAAGTGTTATATCTTGCATCATAATACGAGTACAACTACTAGTTGGTGGAATAGTTAGTGTGATAATTAAATTAAATTCTCTTATGGGGAAGATGATATTTAGAACCAAACACAATAATCATTATAAATTAAAGCACATATTTAAGATATTAGTAATAAGCATGCATGTCGGTCACATTGATTCTACGTTATTGCTTCTGTCTAATTTTCTGACGTTTAAAACAAGTCTTAAAATACAAGAAAACAACACAACAAACAATAGGGAAAAACCATATTATACAGAAGTAGTACTTCATAAGTAGAAGCAATTGAGAAGTACGTGTAGGTATACTACTTGTGCGCACGCTGCTGCTTTAATCTGCAACCAAAAAAGCCTATATGAAATGCAGCAGTGTTCTTGCATATGTAATAGGGTAAACATACTATGTAATAAAAAAAGTCACTGAAGAAATTGAATTTGTAAAGTTGGAATTTTGAAAACAAAAGGATGAAGCTTAAATTTAATTTAATTACCTTTGCAAATTTAATGTGTTCTTCTTCTAGCATGTCTTCTTGGAACAGTATTTTTGGAACCCTTTCTTCTCTTCCATGTGAGTTTCCTTAGCAACCAGTTGAGTTTTCCATACCGCAAAGCAAAATATCCCACAGAAACTCCAAATGGAAATGAACAGCAGTATCCTATCGTCACGCTCTGCCAAGAAAATCCATTAAAAAAACCCGAATCCTCCTCCTCCTCTTCTTTTGAGTGCACACGTGGGTTTTTAGCTCCACATTCTAGTGTCAATGGAAACCCGCATAATGCTGTGTTCCCCAAATAGGAGTCATTGCCAATTGTATCAAGTTGCCGGCTGCGGGGTATTGCTCCTAATAAATGATTATAGGAGAGGTTCAGTACTTCCAGAAATCCAAGCTTTGATAGTTGCCATGGAATTTCCCCCCTCAGCTGGTTGCAAGACATGTCTAGCGCTTCAAGCAATGTTAGATTTCCCAATATATGGCCAGTTAGCCTGTTATGAGACAGATTGAGAGGCCGAAGAAAACCAAGGATTCCAATGGAAATAGGAATTTCTCCATAAAACATGTTACTTGATAAGTCTATGAGTGTGTACAGGTTTAGAATTTCTTCCACTGGAAGCTCAGATCCTTTCACCACAAGCATTACAGAGCTTCCAAAAGCATAATGCAAATCGTAATCAGAGTCTGTTACTTCTAAATAAGGAGTAATATCATTTATAATCCCAATAAAATGCAGCAAATAATTTTTAGGCAAATGTCCAGTGAAGTGATTGTTGGAAAGATCAAGAACTCGCAGCATAGGGAATGGAATCTTGGTGGTAGGATTTCCTATCACCCCATAAAAATTATTACAACTTAAGATGAGCACTGCCAATTGTGGAAGAGCATCTAACCAGTGTGGGAATGAGTCATTTAGACCATTGTTTCCAACATCAAGAACTTGGAGAGCTGTACAGTTGAGCAGAGTACGAGGTAATGGTCCTTCAAATTCATTATAATGCAAGATGAGAATTTGCAGAACATCACCCTTTAAAGCTTCTTCTGGAATGTTTCCATAAAAGTGATTCATGCTTAAATCAAGTAGCGACAATGTTGTGCTTAGATTTCCCAAACACGAAGGAATAACGCCACTCAAACTATTATGAGATAGGTCAACAAATTTGAAGGAGGTTGAACTGCAAAACTCTCTATGCATAGCACCATGCAAATTATTATTGTCAAGACGCAAGATTGAGAGTTGATTGCTAAAATTTCCCAGGCACGTTGGAATGACACCACTCAAGTAATTGCTTGACAGGTCAAGAAAATGAAGGTGGCATGCATTGCAGAGTGATTTTGGAATACCCCCGTGAAACTGATTGTCATGAAGTAAGAAAGAATCTAGATTCGTGTTGTTTCCCATGCATTTTGGAATATGTCCATTCAATTTGTTATTAGCTATGAAAAGGACTGAAAGAGATGTGACATTGCAAAAGATTGATAAGGTCTCAGGTCCGTGAAGCAAGTTGGAACTTATGGAAACAGCAGATAGTGATGTTAAATATCCTACTTCCCATGGTAATGACCCCCTAAGATAGTTGTGTGAAAGGTCTAGCACAATGAGCTCTGTCAAATTTCCAATTGTTGAAGGAATTAGACAAGAAAGGTGGTTTTTCCCAAGGTAAAGTGCATACAACATTTTCAAATTCCCAATGTTTGAGGGAATGCAACCTGAAAGCTGGTTACTAGGCAGGGCAAGATATTGAAGTTGTGTCAATAAACTAATTTCAGAGGGAATCCTTCCAGTGAGCTTATTGTTATCTATAAACAAGAGAGTTAATTGTGTCCAGTTGGCAATGAGGTGTGGTACTAACTCACCTGAAAGCATATTGAGACCTAAATCTAACACAACTAGTTTGGAAAGATTGGACATGCTGGGAGGCAACTCGCCTGTTAGAAAGTTATGGTCTAGATACAAGTACTCAAGATTTGTGCATAGCCCAAGTTCAAAGGGAATCATAGAATTCAGTTGATTCATTTCAAGAGAAAGAAACTGAAGATGTTTAAGGCTTCCAATGGAAGGTGGAATATTCCCAAGAAATGAATTATTGGCCAATTTCAATGCTTGAAGACTGGTGATTGAACCAATTTCTTTTGGAATTGCTCCAGAAAAGTTGTTGTATGAAAGGCAAAGAAATTTAAGGTTGGATAAGTAGGTAAGACTAATGGGAAAAGGTCCTTGGAAGAAATTGTTACCAAGGTCAAGGTGCTCTAGGTTCTCTAGCTTGGAAAACACAAACATTGGAATTTGACCGGTAAAATGGTTTTTTGACAAATCAAGGTAAGATAAATTTGGACAACTTGTTATCAAGTCTTTTGGAAAATCCAAATTGAACTCATTAGCACGGAGGTTGAGATGCTTCAACAAAGGCATAGCATGGAATTTAGACCAATTGGGAGTTTCCAGATTATTCACTCCCAGATTCAGGTACCTCAGATTTTGAAGATTGCTAATTTCAAATAGAATCACATCTTCCAGAAAGATTTTGAAACAACTAAAGTACCTAAGTTGTGTCAACTGCCCAACCTCTATTGGTATTGCCCCCGTGAAGTTGTTATTGCTCAAGTCCAGAAAAGTGAGCTTAAGGAGGCTGTTGATAGCAAACGGGATCATTCCGCTCAAACTATTGTTATTGAGATTGATCCGAGTAAGATTAGGTAGTAAGGAAAAATGGAGTAGTTCAAGTGTACCTCTGATGTTCCCATGAGGTAGGTTGAGCTCTGAAACAGATCCACCTCGGTTACAGGTGATTCCCTCCCAATTGCACAAATTTGTGAGGTTGTTGACAGACCAAGAAGAATCCAGTAAAGAAGTTACATTGAAGATGATGATGATGATAGGCCATTGTTTTTCCATTGTAAGAGAGCTTCAGCTTCTTCTTTGTTTGCATGTAAGGGTGTGGTTTTTACTGCGGCACGCAAACAAAGGATGTGAAATAGAAGAGTGAAGATGGAGATTCTCATCATGGTTTAATTAATAGTAATTCAATGTCGTAAGTTAAAGCTTCTGATCTATGTGATCCTATATATAGCGGATTTAGAGGGAATGATTATGTGAAAAAAATAATTAACTTTTGTGGATGAGGAAAGGAGGCTAGGCTAGGCTAGATTAGATTAGATTGTCTAATCTCCAAAGTTACTTTACATTCATTTTTACTAATGGAGTAATGTCGTCTCTGCTTTCTCTAACGTCACTATCATCGCATCCCTTAATCTCCAAAATGCTCTCTTCTAGTTTAATTTTATTAATTATTTATTTCGACACAATATTAAGATAAAACTTCTCTATTAATTAGCTTTTGGGCATTTAAGCTACGATAAATTTGCCAAGGATCTTGTAATCGAACGGCACCAAGTTGCTCCCTTATAGGTTGTAGGATCGAGGCTCAGTGGAGGTCATATTGACTCTTTGTTCTCAATAGGCTGAGAAATAGCCCAAGGAGTTGGAATCAATGGTTATATCATGTATCAATATGAAAATGATAGAAAAACTGATATATAAAACATTAGACCCAACATGCAATATGCATGGATATATAGCCCAAGGAGTTGGAATCAATGGTTATATCATGTATCAATATGAATTATTCTTCATTTACATAAGCTTGAAAAGAATGCTAGTGTCATGCTGGTGATGGAGAAGTAACTACATTGCATTCGAAAGAGAATCTCTTCTATATAATTTAAATAATTTGAAAAAGCAAATTGTATATATACTAGTGCAAACAACATCACTTTTCAATGTAAGATAAATGTTTCTTATAAGCTTTCGTAACTCTAATTTTTCTAACTACATGTGTATACTTTGAGAATTATATCATTTTTTCACACTATTCATTTTGAGCCTACAATATATCGGGGCCGATTTTCGGCCAATGCATAATGCCCAACAACACAAGGTCCCAATTTTAAAGGTTCCAATATCTAGTTTTGACCTAGCTGCTTAAGAAATTTAAAAAAAAAAAAATTAAATCTGCAATTAAGCCCACAATCATTCACGCATCTTTCTATCTTGTCTAAAACTCATTAGTTTTTTACCCAAATCGCACACCATCATTGAAGAGGGAAAAATTATTCATTCCTCCATTAATTTTACAACTTTCTACCAAATTTCTTTAATTATCAATTTTCACTTCTCTCTTACGGCCTCATTTATTTACAAGAACGGGGCCACAAAAATCCAAAAGACGGCCCTGCAATATATCGATCAATAGTTATGTTGTGCAACCGAATGCACCATCATACGATGCAAAACGACGTCGTTTTGACTAAAAACGAGCGTCCCATTTAAAAAAAAAAAATCAGGTTCGATTCTCGGCAATAACATTATTGTGGATATATAGTTATGAATTTCTAGATATATAGTTATGAATTTATGGATATTTAGTTCATTCATTGTGGATATTTAGTTCAATCATTGTGGATATTTAGTTTATTCATTGTAGATATTTACTTCATTCATTGTAGATATTTACTTCATTCATTCACTGTGGATATATAGTTATGAATTTATGGATATATAGTTATGAATTTCTGGATATATAGTTATGAATTTATGGATATTTAGTTCATTCATTGTGGATATTTAGTTCGATCATTGTGGATATTTAGTTCATTCATTGTTGATATTTTAGTTCATTCATTCACTGTGGATATATAGTTATGAATTTATGGATATATAAAAATGTTATTGCCGGTGATACTGCTAATTATATGTAAGCAATATAAAATGAACCCGAGATCACTCAAAGCGAATAAAGGTCTTTATTGATCACGGTAAAGGTCCTAAGTACAATCTACTTGGTTGCTCTGAGTACCGACTGACTGCGGTCGGGATTCTCTAACAACAACCTATCGATCGTCCAAAAGTCCTCTACACTGTAGCTACTGTAGGTATTTATAGCCGCTGTGCCGGAGACAAGAGTCCGGTCGTTCGGCATGTCCTCCACGTAGCCACCACGTGTCATCCTCCCGGGTGCCCTGTCTGTCGTCGTAGAGGGCCGCCACGTGCCCTTTGTCAGCTCTCTCGCCAAAGGGCTACCGCTCGGTGGTCGACACCATCACTCGGGCAACACCCGGTCGGACCCCGACCGGGTTCTTCACAAGGAACCCGACCTGTTACCTGCAAAGACGAAGAGAAAAGAACGAAGGCATCTCGGTCGGGTGTCGGCTTATTCCGGTCGGGATATTCCCTACCAAAAGCCCCCCCAGCCCAGGCCTTTTTGAGCGACCGGGAAAAAATGGGACGGGATGAAGAAGCCCAACCGTCGGCCACCAAACCGACCGGCCAGCTGTCATTCCCTCCCTTGCCACGTGTCGACCCCCGCCAGCTTCTGCGACTGCAACGGTCGCCTCGGAATCAACGCTGGTCGTGTCACGCAAGTGGATGGGTTTCCCGCCCAAATGCTCTCCTATAAATAGGCCCCTGAGGCCTTCATTTGAACTTTCCTCAATCTTCTGATCCAATCGGCACCCTCAGAGAGTCCCGAGCATACGATCCAGCAGATCAACCGAGCAACTTCTCAAAAGGCTTTAATCAAGTTCCTTCGATCGGTAAAGTCTCTATTCCTTAGCTTTTACTTTGCTCTTAGTACTGCATAGGAATAGAGTAGCGCTAACTCCGATCTAACTTCCCGATCCCTGTACTAACCCCGACCGACCTTTAGGTAGAAACATGTCGGACTCGGATAGTCAAAACGTCTCGGTTGCAGACTACGACAACACGGTCGAGCAGAGCAGCGAAGAGGTGGACATTATGTCCTACTCCCCGGAGGTCGAGCAACGACCGCCGCAAATGCCCGAGCGAGCCCCCGAGCCAGAAAGATCATCAAGCTCGTCGGAGACATCGGGGTCGAGCTCCAGCCGATCGGGGAACGAGGAAACGTCCACGAGCGGACGGAACTCCCCGGCTGAGAACGTTCAAGGAACGCCTATGGGGGTAATAGGGGATTACCCTCAGGCCGAGCCCGAGGAAGGACATCGGGCTAACGAAGCGGAGGCGGTTGAGGAAGACCCGGCCGGGCCAGCAGTGCCACGCGGGGACGGGTACGAGTTCCTCAACAGTGAGAGCGTGGAAGGCCACAGGAGCTTGCTGACCAAAGGGGAAGCAAGCAGAATTGCGGCAACTCTCACTGGTCGGGTCGAGTTCGACACCAGCAGGCAGCTCGGGAACATCATCGAGCGGCACTAGGGGAAATGGATCGGGCTGCATTACGATTCGTTAATGGCCCCGATCACGTTCCCCTTCTCTAGCCTTCTCACCGCCTTCCTGGGGTACTACCGGGTTATGCCCGGGCAGATTTGCCCGAACGCGCATCGAATGATCGCGTGCTTCCCCTAGATTTGCCGTCGACACAACGTGGCCTGCACCATGGAGCTCTTCAACTTCGTCTATCAAGTGAAGGTGCTAGCGGCCGCGTACGGGGGGGGGGGGGGGGTTTCTTGATGACGCAGTCCCGAGCCGATAAATGCTCGATCGAGGGACTGCCCGGGAACAACCGGGGGTGGAAGGACCGGTTCTTCTCCGTGAAATATGATCCTTGGATCCTCCCGGTCGAAAGGGTTTGGAGTCAGCGTTTCCGAAAGCAAGTTATACCAGTCGAGACGCCGACCCTCATCGATGCCGTGACCAAGATCTCGGGCGAGATCTACGAGTACCACATCTTCAAATCGCCCGAGTGTTACGAAGCGACCCGACTGCCCGATCCGGTCTATGACCAGACCGAGAAATATAAGCCCGAGCCGGCGGGTGTAACGGTTGCGCGGATGCCCGCGCGGGGCAAGAGGAAGGGTAAAAGCTTAAAGCTAACTTCTTCCCCGATCCTTAATACTACGAGCCGACTAACTCTTTTGTTTGCAGGTATGGCAGAATTCGGAGATGACGATGCCCCTCTTCCCCCACCCGCCAAGATCTCCCTGGGCGGCAAGAAGAAACCGAGGGCGAAGCCGGTCG